GGCTCCGCCGGTATTTGGGGAGCCGCACAAAACCTCCGGGGATCTCCTCGGGATTAATTATTTGGGGACGATTAATTAGGGAGTGATTAATTCGGGAGGGATTTATTAGAGTGGGATTAATTGGGATCCGGCGGTCCCACTTCCGTCCCGCTCTGACTCCGTTTCTCTCCCCTCAGGCGGAGCCGCCGGCTGGAAGCGCCTTCTGGAGGATCTGCGCTGTATAACTTTCCTTTTCTGGGGGGAATTTCTTGGGTTTTTATTTTGGGGTTTTGGCGGGGTGTTTACTGGTTTTTTAGTCGTTATTTTAAGGGATTTTTTGCTTAACCTCACTTCATTTTCTCTCACGATTTCCCCCCGCCACCACGTGTTCCCCCATCCTCCCCTGTAGACTTAATTCCTTTTACTTTATTACGGATTTTAAGACAGAATTTGTAAGTTTCGGTGGAATTTTTAAGCCTTTTCACCCCTGTTGGGATAACTTTTCACCTCAAGGATGAGCCACTGGCGGGAAACCGCGCCCCGAGGATCTCGGCGCTACAAAAGTAGTTTTAAACCATTAATTTACGGTTTTTTTAACTTAGGTTTCCCCTTCAAGGATTTCTTTTCGCATTTGAAGTTAGCAGTTCGATTTTTTAATGGAGTTTTCGGAAGTTTTTTGCCCGATTGGAGGCGGTTTTGCCTCATATTTCCACCCTCAGTATTTCCCCCCCCGCTCACGTGTTCTCTCTCTCCTTTAACTTTACCCAAACATGAATCACATTAAAATAAAAAACGATAAAACCTTTTGCACGAGGTTTACCTCCTAATTATTGCTTTTAATTGATTTTACTTTTTTTTGCCCCCTTTTTTCCCCCACTATTCCCTGTCCGCGCAAGGAAAAAATCACAGTATCCAATTTTATCACTTTATTTTCTATTTTTATTTTCGCATTCCTCAGTTCCACCGTTTCCCGCAGGGTTTTGGGCTTTTCACTGTTTAATTTCTATTGTTCTGGGGTTTTTTCCGTTGTTTTGATGTTCTTAATGTGTTTAAATTATGCGACTGTATAAATTATATACTAGTTTAATTTATATGATTATTTTATGAAGCGCTGGAATAAATCCTGCTTAACCGTGCAATTTACTGAATTTGCTGGGGGCTAAAAGATAAAATTTCTTTATTTAAATGTTTTTTAAATAAAAACGCAAACCCTTGTGCCGAGTCCCACTGTGAGGGAGCCGGGATGGGGCGGGGCCAACGCGCGGCGGGAAAATGGAGGGGCGGAGTCTGATCTCTAAAGGAGACATGGCTCCGCCTTTAGGGGCGGGGTATGTCCTTAAATGGGAATGAGGAGGCGCGGCCCCACCTTAAGAGGTGCGAGAGGCGGTCGCCGTTTTAGGCGGGGGCGCGGCCNCTTTGACCCTGCAGGTACTGCATTGACAACGGCGCCATGATTGCCCAGGCCGGGTGCGAGATGCTGAGGGTGGGGCAGGTGACGGAGCTCAGCCAATCAGGGATCACGCAGAGGTCAGGGGGCGTGGCTGGGTGGGTGGGGCTGTGTGGGTATTGGCTGAGCTCTGACCTTTGACCTCTGGCAGGTATCGGACGGACGAGGTGGAAGTGATGTGGAGGGATTGAGGTGGCCACGCCCACAGCGGCCACGCCCTTTTAATAAAAATATTCCCTATCCCCTCATCTTCTGGCCACGCCTCTTTTTTTGTTGATAATGTCATTCAGTTGGTGGCTCTGCCCATCTTGAGAGGACCAATCAGCTCCTGGTATTCCTTGTCAATCACCAGTGGTACCATACCCTATTGCGATCAGTCATCTGCAAGCCACGCCCCTTGTATTGGTTTACAATTATACATACCTGTCAATCATCAGGATAAGCCACACCCCTTAAATTGGGTTACATTATTACATTACCTGTCATTCATCGACTGTAAGCCAAGCCCCTTGCTCTGAGTTACATGAGTACCTTATCTGTCAATCAACAGCTGCAAGCCACACCCCTTGCATAGAGTTACATTAACACCTTATCTGTCAATCAACATCTGCAAGCCACGCCTTTTACATTGGATTACATAAACCCCTCTGTCAATCATCATCATGTGAGCCAAGCCCCTTTTTAATCATGCTCTATTTGCATAACCTCGCCCCTCTCCTGCCAAGTGGTCAATAGGATTGGCGGGCGGTGTTTTGCCGGCCAATAACAGCGCAGGGGGCGTGGCTTTGTAAAAGGGGCCCGGCGGGCGAAGGCGGCTGCGGCTCAGTCCGTGAGAGGCCGGCGAGGGGATCGCAGGGCTGCGCAGTAAGTGGGGGAATGGCGGCTGTGGGGGAGTGGAGCTCTGTCTGTGTGTTCCTATCGCGACATGTCGCCCGATCGCG